TCAATGCAGTTTATATAACGAAGTTCAACCTCACGTATAAATGGACTAGATGTACGTAGTCTAGAAAATATCGTTCAATAAATAGTTGTTGTGTTCCAAGTAACATGTATTTTGGGGATTATTAGGGGGGAAATGGAAATGGAGGAAACGTTATGAAAATGATCTAAAGTGGGGTATTTCGAAGATAAGACTTCCACGGTCAAGTTCATCTTTCGTACGGACTAAATAATAATGATAGTCTTATTTTTTTTCTATGCTATGGTGTGTCATCAACCGAGTCGAGTTTTGCTTTACTCATGTTCGGCTTGTTTATAAACGAGTCGAGCTCGAGCCCGACTCGTTTATAAACGAGCTGAGTCGAGTCGAACACGAGCCAACTCATTTATTAAATCTTGACACATCATTAAGATCGAAAGTTCCGTTCGATCTCAACTCTAAAATAATTTATAATATAAACACCCTAATATATATATTTCATATGTGATACAAGTGATTACCTAATGTTATGTCATATATGAGACGTATTTGCTTACATATACTCAATGTATTAAACACCATATGAGGTGATATATACAATTTAATAATTATATGCATCATTAACAAACCAACTCATAAAATATAGATTGATTTTCTCATAAGCTGTAGTCGAGTTGGCTCTCTAGTCACAATGTTCGGACATCTCATAAGCTCAAAACGAGACAGTTCATGAGTTGTATTAAACGAGCCACCTAATCAAGCTAGTTCACGAGCTTCACGAGCCGAACAAGGTAAAGCTCAAACTCGGCTCGTTTATTAACGATCTGAGCTTTTTTTTAATCGAACGAACGAGCTTTTATCGAGTTCGAGACCGAGCCGCTCACGAATAGCGCGGCTCGTTAACAGCCCTAGTCATGATACTGTAAGTGAGTGATGTACATCAGCTGTATTTCAGTGCTGTCGAGACCGAGCCGAGCCGGCCGACCGGACCGCTAAAGTCGCCACCCGACCATAAAACCGGCTCGGACCAATCAATTAGTCGTTCCAGATTTCTAGAGCGGCTGACGCGGTTAATCGCTCGAGCCGGCCACCCGGTTTCCCCCCATTCTGGCCGTTACAATTAATAAAAAAAAACTGAAAATGAATGGCAAAATCGTTGGGGCTGGAAAAAACCCTAGCAACAATTCACTTCATCTCCTTCCGTCCTTCGTCTCTTCGCGAACTGAGAGGGAAGAGCGGCGTCAAACCTGCCACCATCGACACTTCCCGCCGTCGATATCGTCGGCATCCCCAGCCGCATCAAACCAGCTCCCCGCTCGCCATCGCCAGTAGCAGCTCTCCCCTACTCTCGCTTCGTTGTCGCTTCTCGTCCCACTTCGTCGCCAGTAGAGCTTCCCGTTGGCGTCGTCCCCATGCTTATAGCATCTCCCCTGCTCCAGCCCATCTCCAGAGCATCTCCCCTGCTCCAGCCCATCTCCCTTGCTCTGGTCGTCTCACCTCCGCACCATTTGCCACCGGCGGTCTCTATTCCGCAGCTCCTACCAGCATTTCCCACTCCGTCTGTACTCCGCAGCATCTCCCACCAGCATCTCCCACCCGACGCGAGGTAAATTAAACATTTAATTGACTAATTGTGAAGTTGGTGAGACTGCTTCCACTACTTCAAATTATTAATTTAACATTGAACAGGAGGCCTTTGATTCAATTGTGAAGTTGGTGATACTGGATTTTAGAACTTTTTGTACTCTTGCTCTAGATTGTTAAGACTTAAAAGTGTAATGTATTAATTTAGTCATGGTTTACCATGATTAAGAAGTGTCTACCATTTATACTTATTGTTTATTATGTACCGGTTCTCTAATGGTTTTTAAACGGTCTAATGTTGGTTGGACCGCTAAAGACGGAGTCATTCACATTATCGGGTTGTACTCCGGTTCGCTTTTGACGACATTGATTTTGCAGACTAGCTTGATCAAATCGGAAAGTGGGAGCTATAAAATCGGACAACAATTACCGGGAAAAATAAAGATTGCTTGGGCTCGTTTACTGTGGGCCTACATAATGACCTTGGGTTACTATAACTTGTGCCATATTGCACCCTAAGATATCAAGTGCTTAGATCTTGTTTGAGATTATGAATATACACATGGCGTTCCTTCACAATACCGAACAAACACAACATGCCAACACTATCATGCTAAATAAATCTATACCATTACACGAAAACTACCAATATAAACAATCTATATCATTACAAAAGTCAAACAAATACCAAAACAACCAATACCACTACTACTATGAAATCAAAACAATACCATTGCATAAATAAATCAATACCCTTAAACTAAAACTACCAATACAAACAATCTATAACATTACAAGAGTCAACCAATACCAAAATCAATCAATACCACTACTATTATGAAATCAAAACTGTTATGGGACAATCCAAGTACCACATCGGAAATACAAGGGAAGGAACCCTTGTATATAAGTGTCCACCTATCCCAATTAGTACGAGGCCTTTTGGGGAGGACACCCAAGAGTAAAACCGTGCGGGCTTGGCCCAAAGAGGACAATATCGTATTAATGAGCAGCCCGGTTATGACAAGTGGTATCAAAGCCTTTGGTTGCGGTTTTGGGAATTTGGCGCTGGACTCAAGTTTTGCTTTGTGGAGTTTGGTTGGAGTTTGTTTGATAGTAAGAATGGCTTCTATCAGTATGAAGATTGCGAAGTTTACCGGAAGAAACAGTTTCTGTTCGTGGCAGATCAAGATGCAAGCATTGTTGAAACAACAGGGTTTGTGGGCTCCATTATCTGGAAAATCGAAGAAGGAAAGTATAGATGAAGAAGAGTGGATCGCTTTGGAGGAGAAATCTCACTCTACAATCTTGCTTTGTTTGGCTGATGACATCATCACTGAGGTTGCTACTGAGAAGACTACCGCGGGCTTGTGGTTGAAGCTTGGAAGTCTATACATGACAAAATCTTTAACCAACAAGTTGCATATGAAGCAACGTTTGTTCAATTTGCGTATTGAGGAAGGTACATCTCTTAGGAATCATCTAGATCAACTCAATACTATCTTGTTAGATCTGCGGAATATTGATGTTAAAATAGATGATGATGATGCTGCCTTAATTCTGTTAGTATCTTTGTCACGGTCGTATGAGAATTTTGTGGATTCTTTTATTGCTGGGAAAGATAGTTTGACTCTGGAAGATGTCAGATCTACTCTACATAATCAGTGGCATAGCCAGGAATTATGCCAAGGTGGTGCAAAAAAAAGAAAGAAGCATAACTTATATTAATTTTGTACAATGACTCCGACGTGTTTTCATAGTATGAAAAGTATCTAAAATACATTTATCATCCAAACTATCAAGGATGTCACTCTCAATGTAACCACCCAAAAAATCATGCATGACGTCATCACTCATTCTATTGCGAAGTGTGTTCTTCACATAGTTCATTGCAGAAAATGCTCTTTCAACGCTTGTTGTGGCAATAGGAAGCAACAATGCCAATTTCAGAAGTCGATAGACTAATGGAAACACCAGATGTTTCTTTGATGCAACCATTTCTCTAGAAAGTTCAGCAATTCCCTTTAATCCTGCAAACCTCTCAACTGTCTTCATATCATATATATAAGCATCAAGTTGATGAAGATCAAGATGTAAAATATCATCTTTGGAGAACTCAGTAGGATAAAAAGTAGCAAGCTTCACCAACTTGTTCTTTTCAAAGCCGACAAACAAATCGCCTGGATTTAAGCATGTCACACAACATAGAAAATCTGTGTTTATCTCATCAAAGCGACTATTTCGCTCTTGTAACTGCATATCCACGGCTGTATAAAATAACACAACCTTGTAGTGATGGAGATTGGTGATAGGAATGGCAAAAATATCCGTAACCGTGGATATCCGCCCGAATCCGACCTAGTCGGGTAGGGTAAAATCCGAACCCGAAGGACATTTAGTGGGTATGGGTAAAACCCGAATCCGAATATTGCGGGTAATGGGTGGTCATGGATTTCTCACTATCCGACCCGAACCCGCCCGATTATACACATGCATATGTATTTTGTCTAGAAATAATCATTATTTTACTCTAACATATTTTATATTTAGCATATAAATATAACATTTTCATGAAATTGTGTTGTTTTAGTTAATTTTCTTCATTCTAGTGAATTCTTGTCGTACTTTTTCTCTTACTTAATATAAGAATACGTGTGAATGTTAACATATTGGTTGGAGTTATGAAGAAAAATTAATATCCATGGATAACCGTGGATACCCGAAACCCGAACGGATATGGGCATGGTTTTGATTTTCTATCCGTTTCACATGTGGGTATGGGTATGGGTAAAACCCGAAGTACTTTGGGTAGGGTAACGGATATGCACTATCCGCCCCCGACCCGACCCATTGCCATCCCTAATTGGTGATTTGCTGAGCATTTCTCCATGTTGACAATGGGAAGAGCTTCCTTGTTGCAAAATGAAACCACACTATCAAGAAGAGAATACCATCCTTTATCCCTCATTTCCTATAATCTAAACTTTGACCCACGAACAAGGTGCATAGCATTCACTATGTTCTGGTCTTTCCTTTGCAAAGTTGAAGACAAATCACTGGTAATGGCAAGCACTACAATCATCATTTTCATGATGAATACAAAATCAAAGTTTTGGATTAACCTCAACAAGCAAGATGCATCGGCTTTTGCATCAGAATTTCCCTCCCATTTGATGATATCCAAACACTCAATAACAGAAGAATATATCCTCGCCCAGTCTCAAGTTCACCATGATATAAAGCCTCAACAACTTTAGCAGCTTGACATTCTCAAATTTTGTCCATTCGCTTACACGATCCTCCAACCAAATTAATCAAGTCACTCACAGCCTTAGAGAAGCCACCAATGTCACCATGATGTCTAGCAACTGCAACAAGAGTTAACTGAAGTTGATGAGCAAAAGAATGAACATAATATGCTGATGAATTTTCTGCCAAAATCAAAGTCTTGAGTCCATTGATTCCCCACTCATATTTCTTGCCCCATCATAGCCGTGTCCTCTTATTTTTGACAAGCTCAACCCATTTGTCACAAGCATTGATTCAATTTCCATCTTAAGAGTCAATGATTTTGTATCTGCAACATGAGCATTCCCAAGAAACCTCTCCATCACATATCCTTCTTCATTTACATATCGCAACACAATAGCCATTTTCTCTTTGATTGATGTATCACGAGCTTCATCCACCAAAATAGAAAAAACATCATCACCAATGTCGCATATGATTTGCTTGGTTACTTCAGTTGCAATTGCATGTACAATATCCTTTTGTAGGTCTGGAGAAGTCATTTGAAGGTTCTTGGGAGCATTTCTCAACACAACACGTTCCACATCTTCTCTACCACGAGCATGAAATTTCAGAAGTTCAATAAAATTTCCTCTATTCTTTGAACACTCTGATTCATCATGTCCACGAAGTGCTTGCCCTTGGCGTACACAATGTCTGATGCAATCAATTGAAGCTTGCAAACGAATTTTATAATCCATCTTTGCTTGATCTGATTGTTTAAATAAAGAAACTCCAATGCTTTGAGACTGCTTCAACAAGTCCTCACATTTTCTCATAGCTTTATTGTGTTCACTATTGACATGTCCAACATACTTCTCAAGACCCTCATCTCCTCTATTCTAAGCTCTAAAGCCCTTAGAAATGAAAGAAGCACCTCCACCCTTCTTACCATCATTGCTCCTAAACAAATAGCAATGCAAACAATATGCAGCATCCTTTGCAATACTATATTCCAACCAATGATATTTTTTTATACCAGGAAGACTTAAAGCTTCGCAAGGTTCCCCCTATATCTCTAGATGGAAAAGCATGATCAGGTTGACAAACACCTTTTTGAAGATAATGTCTTCTAATCATATCTTGAACATTAGGATGAAATAGCACTACTTGTTCTCTTAACCCCTGATCAGCTTTCAAAGAGTTCACATCAAGTTCATTCTCTCTAGATGCAATGCTAGTCATAGAGTGATTTACCGAGAGAGGTTGTGACACTGATGGCGTAGAAGGAGTTGAATTGGAATCCCGTCCAGGTGCTAATGAATTCAATCCACTATTTTCACCTTCAGGAGCATTCGTGGTTATTCGAGGCTTCTTTGGATAATATCTCTCCATAATAGCAAATCTACAAATTCAAAACCAAAGTACACAATAAATCATTTATTTGTTCTAAAGCAGTTAATCAATAGGATATTTGACACATAATCAAACAATAAACCAAAAATATGCTCTCAACCAATGAATCAATTCTCTGTTCTAGTTTCCCAATCCATACAGCCAACTCTAAAACCTAATTCTCAATAACTAAACTAAAACCAACTCAAGACATGAAAGTTAATCATAGTTAAGAAAGCAGGGACGAGCACCCCAAGCCCAACGAATGGATACACCACACAACAGTTGATTTTTATCGCCGGCTAAACGGCTTATTGTCGATTTCGAAAGCTCAAAGAACACTCACCAATGAGAGGAATTGGATTCGGAATCGGAGTTGAAGATAGAGACTACGCAAGATACGATGGTTGACGATGGTCACTCGAGCAACCAGCGGAGGAATGAACGAGTTGAGGGAGGAAGTTGCACCATTTTTGCTTCGTACAAGGGAGAGGGACGAGTAAGAGGAAAGTCGGCATTAGTAGAATTAGTGCTTCGGATGGGGGAAATAGACGAGGTCGTTTAAATTTAAGTAAACTAACATGTTACAGAAAGATAAAACAAGTTAAATGCTAATAATGACACGACAAGGAGTAAGTGGCGTGATGGCTGAAGCAGTTTGCGGATTAAGGGAGGTCACTAGTTTGAAACTTCATTCCAGCAGGTGTAATAAGTATATTTTTTAGCTAGGCCTTGCCAGCGCAAGGGGATGCATCCGACCTCCCTTGGGTGGCTGTGGCTCCATCACTGTACATAATAGAGAGGTTCGACATAAGGCGTCTGGCGGATCAAGATAATCGCTGAGAAGAGGACACGAAGTTCGTGGTCCTTGGCTTGAGCGGAGGATTGTTATTGGATCATCCAAGTACCACATCGGTAATACAAGGAAAAAAACCCTTGTATATAAGTGTCCACCTAGCCCAATTAGTACGAGGCTTTTTGGGGAGGATACCCAAAAGCAAAACCGTGCGGGCTTGGCCCAAAGCTGACAATATCGTACTAATTAGCAACCCGGTTATGACAAGTGGTATCAGAGCCTTTAGTTGCGGTTTTGGAAATCTTGTGCTGGACTGAATTTTTGCTTTGTGGAGTTTGATTGGAGTTTGTTTGATAGTAAGAGACAACAATCTGGTAATAGGAAGGAGAATACAAATTCGAATTCTGTTGGTTTGAAGGATGATATATGTCATTACTGTAAGGAGAAAGGTCATTGGAAATTTGATTGTCCTAAACTAAAGAAATATCAGGAGAAGAAGGAATCATCTGCTGCAGTGGCGGAAGAAACTAACTCTGATTCTGAAGATGGTTTAGCCTTAGCAGTGAATGAACATGTACATCATCAGGATATGTGGTATTTAGATACTGCAGCTGATTATCATATGTGTCCAAGCAATGAACGTTTTTCAACTTATGAGCAGGTAGATGGAGGACATGTTTCTATGGCCAATGGTGCTATCTGTAAGATTGTTAGAAGAGGCTCCGTCAGGATGAGGACACATGATAGTTTTGTTCGCACATTGAACAATGTTAGGCATATTCCCGAGATGACTAAGAATCTGATATCTTTGAGTCTACTCGACGACAAGGGTTTCAGTTTCAAAGGTGAAGGTGGAGTGTTGTCTGTCTACAAGGTTCTAAGATGATTTTGAAAGGTGTCAAGGTTGGTGCCTTGTATGGTCTACAAGGTTGTGTTTTGACATGTTCTGTTGGTGATAAGTGCACCAAGCTGGTTCTGAATCGCAACTCTCAACGTGGGTTGGATTTGCCGAATGTTTTGGTTTGTTGACAGCACTTAGGGGCATTTGGAAATAGGGGAGATTCTAGTACAACTGATTTGGAGGAGTTTGGTACATCTGGCAACTTTGGTTGCGTCTGGTACATCTGGTATTTGACCGAGAATTCAAGTCAAGGTGGAGATTGTTAGGATATGACTTGAATTTGATTTGGGTTTGTTTGGTGTTTTGAGCCTATTTTGTTTGGGTTTGTGTTTGGGCTTTGTTTCGGCATTTTCCTTTATAGGTTAGGAAAATGTGTTTGGTTTTCTGTTTGGGATTAGGAGAAGAGTTCTATGAATACTCTTCATCACCCTAGTCTGTAGTAAGGTCAGTTAGGTTAGTTTGTTTGGTTTGTCTGTTCCGGAATTTGGTTTGTAACATGTACTCTCCTCAAAGCAGTGAAATTTGTTCTCCCCTGCCCGTGGATTAGCTAGCACAAATCGTGCTAGTGAACCACGTTAAATTTGTGTTCGTTCGTGTTGATTTTGATTATCGATTGCACACTTCTGTTCTGACAAAAACAATACAATTGCATAAATAAATCAATACCATTATGAAAGTTGCCAGCCTTTAGCGAAAGTGCCATTTATATTACGAAATTTTCGATATGACAATTGTATACCAACCGTTAAGTTTTCCGTTAATGGTTAACGAAAAATACAGTCAATAATGACATGGCAACTGACGTGGAATGTTTTAATAAATAAAAAATAAAAAAAATCAAAACAAAATAAAAAAGTACAAAAATGGATAAATATCAGCGCCTCCCCACGATTCCTCTCTCCCCTTCTCCAGACCACCGACGTCAATCTCCAGCCGCCGATTGGTGACAAAGGTGGAGCGGAGCAGTGGCGAAGGTGGAGCGAGAGAGGGAGGATTTTTTGTGACCCACAACCCACAATTGATCGCAGAACTCACCAACCCTCTACTAATCGATGATAATAAACAAGACGAGTTCCTTCCGAGTTCGATTCCTCTACTCTATGGACGAATACGCCCTTCAATTGTCGAGTTCAAGTCAAACGCGGAGGTAGAAGTGGTGGATGGGAAGCGATTCAACAAGTGGAAGATGCTGCTCAGGGGAAAGTCAAGATTGCAGCCGGAGCGCTATTTCCCCACGAGATCATCGTGGATCTGAATCGCTCCTCTGCCAGACGGAGGTAATGTGGCGGAGCTCCAATCTGCGAGAATGGTGGGGATTACATGGCGGCCGGCAGTTTGGGTCTGGGAAAACTCGTCGGACTCGTGGGTTAATTCGATGGGAGGGTTTAATTGGAGGTGAGAGTTTCTCCCGGTAGTTGCCGTCGTCGACTAAGGGAGGGAGGAAGGATAGATAGGGGGTGGATAACTGGATGAGGAGCGGAAGGAGTGGTATTGGCCTGGGTGGGTTAATTGGAGGGGGTGGGTTAATTCAATGTGGGGAAGCTTCTCTGGTGGTTGTCGTCGTCGACTTGGGAGGAAGGGAGGTTACGTCCCTTCCCCCTACCACCTCGCAAATCTCCAGCGTCCCTTCCCCTTTAAGCCGCTGCAAAGTGCAAATCCCTATCTTTTATCTCAATGACATCCCGCTTCGGATCTTGCCGGCGGAAATTACAATGGCGGTTTGATTGCGATTGGGTGGTGAGATGGAGAAGGAGATATAAGTGGAGGAGAAGAGGGATTTAGACGAGCTCTCTCGCGTCGCCCAGATCCCGGCTTGCCTGTGCAAGTGGAAGATCAGAAACGACCGCTAATCGAGAAGGAAGAAGACGAGCTCCCTGCCTCCGTCGTCAGAGCAGCGTTGGTGATCGACAGAAGAAGCAGATGGGCATGACGACGGGGAGGCGAGAGAAAGAGTATTTAGAAAAAAAACTATTTTAAAATAAATTAATAATATTTATTTATTTATTTTTGAAATAAAATTAATATTTTTAAATAGTAATTTCTTACGTGGCACATATGCGGGTGACACCTAAGCGCCACATAAGCAATAGTCAAACATAAGTTGACCACCGTCAGGTCAACCGTCAATTCTAACGGTCAACAAAAATGTGCATAACACAAATGACACAAACCCCTAATACGTTGGAATATTTTTGTGTTTATTGAAAGTACGTAATATAAATGACACTTTCGCTAAAGGATGGTATTTCCAGTGGTATTAACTCTAAAACAAAACAATGAACCAATACCAAAACAAAAAATTACCAAATCTAGAGAGATAGGGAGGGAAGGAGACCATCATCATCTCACCCCTCCACCACAAGCGTTTTAGAGAGAGAGAGAGAGAGAGAGAGACCGCAGCGGTGGTCGGGGGTAGCCGAAGGGGACGGTGGTCGTTGCGATGGACGAGGGTGGGCGGTTGTAGGCGTCGTCGTCGTCGAGGGTGGCCGAGGGGAGGGGCTGGTGTAGATGGAAGAATTGGGAATTCCGCAACTTTAAAAAGAATGATTTTTTGGGGCTACCTTGCTTGGATTTTCGATCAAGTTTTATGCCGCGTGGGATTAGTGCGGCGGAGTGGGGGGGCGACTGCGGCAGGTTTAGCTGGAAGGAGAGTAGAACTAGGGTCTGAGTAGATTATATAGAATAATCGTGTGTGGTCACTTTTTAATTTTTAATATTATCCTAAAAGAATCTCGACCGTAAAATTAAATAAAAAAAGAAAAAATATAAAATCTAATGTTATGTAAAGAAGTTTACACCGTAATTACTAAAAAAACGGAAAAATATAAAATCTAATGTTATGTAAAGAAGTTTACACCATAATTACTAAAAAAACAAGTCATCACTCTAACCACCTAACCTATTCCCATCTTCTAATGATCTACCGGTGATTTTTGGCAAATCATCAAAACAAAGAAATTAGCAAATTATGTTTTTTTTTTTGTTTTGTCATGATTAATTGATGCAATGCAATCATTAACAACCATGGTGTGGACATAACACGAACAAACGGACACGTGGAGAAGAACGTGCGATCGAACTTAGTGGCTAGAGCTGTAAACAACTATGGGAGTGTTTGGTTTAAATACGGAAAAAACTTTCATAATCACGAGATTAAGCGACTGGGGCCCACCAGTCGCTCAACTAGACGAGATAGCCCCACGTGTCCTCTCATAGTGCCATTGTGTTCTGTAACCCAACAAAAACAAAAGGCCGCAGCCACTAGATAAGCTCGATCTCTCTCTCTTTTTATCCAGACTCCACCACGCAACAGCTGGTGGGCCGGGAGACCGAGCCCGCGGTTTTAGGTAAAGTCAGCTTCAGTTGGGCCCGTCCAGACGCTAGCTGTTATCGTGTTTTTTGTGGTAATTGATGTGCCCAATAAGGTACTGGTGGTGGGCCTGCATCGGTAGTTTTCACAACCAGAACCAGTACTGAAGCCTGAAGGATCAATAAGTGGATTAGTTCATGAAGATCTTTTTTTGAGTCTAGGAGAGGGCAATAGGTCGAATCGATATGTCAAATAGGCACAACCCTTTAGTTATCGGTATCACTCGATCAATTGAATTATTTTTTCAGAATTCTAGGAAGTATTGGAATTTTTTTTTAGTTGATCGACAGTTGAGTTCATGAGTTACATCCAATTCGTAAATAGTCTGGGTCGAGTGCGTGTTGAGAGGATGTTAATTTTTTTAAATTCTTGTGACGTGCAGTGAACCAATTCACCAAATCAAGTAAAGTAGTAACATATTCGAGGATCAATTCGGTTATTTTGTTAGTATATCACACATTAACTTGGACGAGTCTTTAATTAGTTTGTTAAAAGTTTGAGTTTACCAATGTAATGATGAGACTATGTTGCAAATTAGCCCCCATAATTTTATGATGATCTAGACATTTGACCTTTTCAGAAATCTCAGCAAGCAGTCAGCACCCAACCCATAAAACTTGTATGGTTAACATTTACCAATAGTCATATGGGCTTGCTAGTCACTCGTGCAGATCTAGTGGTCCAAAAGATCACAACTCACAAGGAATCAAGAAAACGAAACTAGAGAAGGGAAACCTAGCCAGATGGCTACAACTTATTAAAGGACACTAGTACATTACCATAAATAATCGATACGCCCGACGGCCGTGATATTGAAACAAAGCCAGGTGGCACCAGCCCATTTGCTAGTTGGCGGAAGATCTTTGTTTCAATGTCAGCTAGCCTTGTTTCCATATTTGATATTACGTGGCAAGTGAATTTATTGTTAATTAAGAGAACTAGCTGGCTGAGGTGCTGACCTGGACAATACAACGATGCACAGCTGGAGGCCTGGAATAGTTCCTTCCATTAATTACCGCTAGGTAGCGCTTAATTTTCCATAGAACTCGCGTGGAAAACAAGTAAATTCGAAGCGAAAAAGAGTTGCCGAAAATGCGTTACGGGGTTGGGTTAATGATGACCTGGATTTCGGCTGGCTGTGTAGTTGGGTTAATGATGTCCATCAAGTGGGTAATTAATTATGGATGCATTAATTAGGATTTCAAAGTCGGCAACAAATGCGTAATACGGACATATTTACTACAGTAAATTCGGGAATATTCAAAATGACAGATACCAAACCCGAGAGTAAATTTGAACCGTATATAATGCATGTTTTGTGGAGACGAGCTGGGATGTGTGTATTGGTAGAAAGTGTGGGCGCGTAATTATGTGGAAATGGAATGTACTCGCAGAAAAAAGAACATTTAAACTGAACGGGTCACAATGGCCAGTTCACCTATAATTTCTTCTCAGCCAGACTTGGTGTCTTAGGGTGACTTTCTTTTGGTTGATTGATAAACTCAAGACGGATCGTCTGGACCTATGAATAGTCTAATTTATTTCGCATTTCACTTAATTTATGATTGTTTTATCGTTACAAATTTATCAGACGCCATGTGGTCAACTTGGTATCTAGTTGATTTATCACTAACCCCGTCTCATCGATTTTGATACTTTACGGCTTGCCACCTTGTCGGCAAGTTCTTCTTATTAGATTTGGTACTATTGGGTGCCATACTTAACCTTTGTAAGTTATGTTTCACCCTACTAAGTTCGTCACATACGCATTACCCTTCGAGCTAGCCATTCAGTTTGTGTCATCAACTTTGATACATTATCGTCCTGCTGGCTTGCCACCGAACTTGTCCCGTCGCAACTTGTTATCAAATTCGTCTACAAAAGTCCATCTTATCAACTTGGTACTCTATCTCCTTTTCCGACCCAATGTAATTCATCTAATGCTTGATATTAAATTGATCTTATTAATTCATTAGATCTCTTCGCGATAAATAACACAATTGGAAAAAATCATATATAAAAAGCAATGCTATTGCAGCGTGCATGGAGGCCTGTGGACCAACCAAATGGCGCACCTGAAATGAAAAGTCAACTACAATTGCCAACGCATGCAGTGGGCAGCTGTTTTTCTTCTTCTTTTGAGTTGACTGTGCTGTTGTAGTTCAGTAGTTGTATATTCACCGCTAAATCGATTCCCAAAAGGGATTTGATGATTTGCACCGCCCAAACCCCTGCCTTTCGATCCATGCAATTGCAAATGCATGCACGCTTCCCACATTATTACTACCAGCAACCTCTACTAACACTGTTCGTTTCCTGTGCATCCAATGCTTTTTATTTTTAACCGTAGATATTTTCCTCTGCTTTTATTATTTTGGTACAGCTACCTCCCCCGGTATATTCTTCTCGAAAACACTCCCATAATAAATACATTTTTTAAAATTTTTTGCCATTAATAGCTACATGGAATGGGAAATCTTAAATCTTCCCTCCCTCAGTTATGGCCTCCTCCTGTATTGATTGCGTTGCGCGCATCAATCTTCCCTTTCTTCCAGAACACTCGTTTCCAAAAGCATCTACACGTCTAGCTTGTAGGAGTACTACTAAGTACTACTGACCATCATTAACTGCAAATGTAGAGCTCCGTATATTGATAATGACCTGACTCGGCCGGACCTAACTGGTAATGGGTTTCGGCCGAAATGTAGAGTGTGATTTGATTTGTTCCGTCCACGATTTTTTGGTTTTTTGTCGTCGGTTCGTAGAGTTTCTAATGAAATCGGAACCAAAAAAACCATAATCTCAAAACTGATTATGAGATGTATCGATTCCCGACATTAATTATACTTTGATCAAGCAGCTTGATGTTGTCAAGAACCAATTGATCCCAATAACTCGAGTTGTTGGGAGAAGTTCAATCGTAGATCATATACCATTCACTGACATATATGTATAATGAAAAGCGTTGCTTGTTGCTCAAAAATGTTGACTTTCTTTCATGATTGATTTCTTAATTCAATGCATGTATCTTTGCCTTTTCAAGTATTTTTTTTTTCTATCAATACAAGTGTTCGAAATTAAGAACAAGTTGTTTTATGCATTGCACAAGAAGGGTTTGAACTCAAAGTACAATCAACCATATGTAGTGCTCCATTATGCGCAAAGCAGAAAGCAAAAGGGGAACTAAAACACTTGATTCAAAGTATCAGCAACATCTCTAGTTTTCTTCGGCCGCGACAAATCCTAGAAAACAATGGAGAAAGTTATGGAAGGGTGGTGGGGAAGCAACCAAACTCCAGCAGAAAACCGGCAAACCGCACCCCCTTGGTTTCTGGTAACAATTACCCCACGCTTCCTTTCGAATTATTGCTTGCTTCGGTTCCATTCCAATACCCTAAATTACAAATTAGTCTATCACTAATTTTTCCGGTGTAACTTTGGTACGATTTCACAATCATCTTGCAAAAGCCGTCACAACCAGGCTACAAATGGGCCCCAGGGAAAACAAGACCTGTGACTCTCTCTCTCAGCTGCTAAGCAGAGGATTCACCTGATCACCAAATTCCCTCCCGCAAACTACTCTGCCTAGCTAGCTCTCCCTTTTTTTTTTATTGCAGAAACTAAATTATTCAATTTAAAAAAACACTCACAAGCTAGAAATTCTACTAACTAGTAACTACAATAAATTAAATTTCATTTAACACTAAGAAAATAAAATAAAAAAAGAAGAAAATAAAATAAAAAAAAGGGGAAGAAAGGAGGAAAAGAAAGAAGAGAATGGAATCGGAAAATCTATCATATGTATTTGTACAACAAAAAAGAGAGAGAAAAGAAAAACCCTACAGAATTAAAACTACTCCCACGATCTCCGATACGAATTTCAAAATTCAAACAGGACTGTCATCATCGCCTTCTACTTCCCCTCCTCCGCCGCCGCCGCCGGCGGAACCGATCAGGCTTTGGCGGTCGATTTTACCGCGGCAGACGGGGCAGAACGGGTGCTTCGACAGCCACTTGTCCGCGCAATCGATGTGGAATCCGTGATTGCAGACCGGAATCCTTCGCGCGATTTGCTCCGGCTCGATCTCGTCGAGGCAGACGGCGCATTCGTCCCCCATCGTGAGCTCCTTCCCGGCGACCTTGGGGAGGTTTTCGAGCTCCTCGGCGGAGAGGCCTTTTTTGGCAGGGGGCTTCAAATCGTCGTTGTTCGGCGGGGGATTGATGGGTGGATTGGAGGCGAACCAGAGGAGGCAAATGTAGACGACGAACAGAGCGCTCATCCCGGCGCAGGGGAGGAACAGGGCGAGGAATACGGAGAGCAGCATCCCTCCGTTTTGATCGGCGGCGGCCGCGGCGGAGGCGGAGGAGGAAGGGGAGGGAGAAGAGGGGTTTATTAGTGAGGGAGAGGGTGCGTATAGCGCGACATGGCGCATTATAGGGAGAGAGGCTTTTTTTTTTTTTCTGGGGAAGAAGAAAGGAAGGGAAAGGGGTGTGTGATAGCAGTGATGAATAGAAAGAGGAGGTGGTTGTGATGTTGGTGGTGGTGGAAAGCTGACGTGGCCTCCGAGTCTGGGGCCCGCTTTTGATTTTTTTTCCCCCTTCTTCCTTCCGGTGAAAGTATTTCTGTTCTGTGTGGCTATTTATAGGTTGATTTTTCTGATACTATTTTACAATTTTTGATTTATAGTCGACAATAAATAGAGTTTGATAACGATTCGGTTGATATTCAAGGTTATGATCGAATTAGACCGGGTATAATTTATATTTGATTTATACAAATTTTCTTGAAAACCGAGTAAAAAATGTATATCGAACCAAAGTCATTTTTAGTGTCTAAGATTCACTTAGTCTTTTAATTTTGTTTCGATTCAAACCGGTTTGAACCGGACCTATGGCGAAAGGTGGCTAGATTCTTTGCTTGAGTTTTCCATTTCTACGAGCCTGGTTGTGGTTTTCATAATTTGGGCCTGAGGGAGGGGGGGAAGGGGGACTCGGGGGAGGCAAAGTGTAGTAATTGCCAATTTTGGTACACGGACGTTCCTGTGTGTTTTTATGTTTTAACTAGCTGTTTCTTCATGTATTTGTGGGATGCAAATCATGCAATAGAGTGCAATGTATTTTCATTAATTGGGAAAGATGAGTTGGTGTTGGGTTGGCATTGAAAGGGATGGAGATTATTTGAACAAGGGTTTTCATTTCTTGTGTGTATACAGTGGCGGATTCAGAAAATTTTCACAGGGGTATCCTCTTAAAAATTAAATTTAATTAAATAATAAATTAAATAATTCGTATATTAAAAATATCATACTTGTATAAATTTTTTATTAAAATTCATGATGTGTTTTCATATTTTGAAAAAATAATATAAATAAACTTCGTGTCTGCACTGTTAAAAAAAAATCTACATATCCTACTAGATAATACTTCACGAACTTATCACATATTCGATTTCTAACCTTCTTCTTAATGTAGCTCGAAGTAGAAAAGACTCTTTCAACACTTGCCATGTAACCATAAAATCAATTCAAAATTAAGGGTAGCGTGTACGTAGTTTAATTATTAGGTATTGAAAATAGTTGGGGGATAAAGAAATAGCGTTTTACTGTTGCATGATGTTTAAAATAGAATAACAAATGAGTAGCAACATAATTAGAATATGTTTGATAATAGTAGTGTCCTAGGTTGGAATAACACGGACTACCACTTATATTTTGTTAATCATAAGCAAACTATTATCGAGGGTAGGATAATCATTTTTTCAAATGTTAGGGTGTCCCGAATTACCAATTATATTTTGTATACCTGTACGAAACTATTATCGGAGGTTCGATAATCGTTTCCCAAAATTTTAGGGGTGTCCCGGGACACCCCTAGAGGCCCATGTATCCGCCCCTGTGTGTATATGGAGAGAAAAAAAGTTCAGTATTTACTTTCGCGCTCTCTCGCTCCTCTTCATTAAGAACTCCAACTGCATGGCCGTTTGACTTCGGGATCATAAATTGATGTACAAATCGGATGGTAGCGACTGAAAAGAGAAAACGGGTATGAAGAACGTTTTGGATGTACGTAATTCAGTGACGCGTTTGTTTTTATGTTTCAGAGTTTGAGCATCGGTTACATTGCAACAACAACAACAACAGCAACAACAGGTGGCGTGTCGTCGCTTCCCTTCTCGGCTTTATTAATTTTGTTGCGACATATCTTGAGAATCAAATCCCACTTTTCTTTTGTGTCCCACTCGGAGTCAGATCGTTAATACCAATGTACACTCATCTAAAATAAATAAATAAAATTAGTACGTTTGTCTTTCCTCTTTCAAAATCTTTGGTATTGGTCACTAGTACGACGAACGACGTCGTTTACGACTATTCTGTTGAAAATCAGACTTGTTATTGTATACTTGATTAACTACAAGATTAAGATGGTCCATTCTTAGGTCAAACATTTTGAGAACAACATTCACTCGACAGGTCAAAAGGGTAATCAAAATGTACACTTGAATCGACTGCCATTCCATCACCAATTCACCATTAAGATGGTCCATTCTTTCACTATTTGTTCCTGTGTGTTTCTTGGAAGGGAAGCCAAGTATAGGTTTAAGTTTTTGACGCGTTTCGTGGGTGTCAAGCAAACGAAGTATGAGAGAAGTGTTGCTTCCAGCAAGCAGTCTATTGATAATATTCGCTGTCGTCTTAGTTCTTACATGCTATACTAATTTTTCTTCCTTAAGAAGAGACTTATTTCTCACTTTCTTTCTCAATCGTGCCTTTGTTCCCTTAATGTTGATTCCTTACCTATAAACTACAAAGTACAAATATGGGGAAATTGACCCTTCAGTTATTTTTTTCTTTGTTTTGGGTCATTGAGGGGTGCATAGGCTGTCGTTGAAAATGACTGTAGTGATAGTGGGCTCTATGTTGATTCCTACCTGGGAATAGAAATTGTTATCTCTATGGTGTTGTTATGTTAATTCTACTCTTCCCCCTTTTCTTTTTCATACCTAACTTTCAAAAAGAACCAATTATTGTATTCAATTAGGGGTTGTTTGGATCAATGATTTGGGTATCAAATTTAGTACGAATGAAAATGGGTCAAATATAATATCTGGATGCACAAAAAAAAAAAAATTTGTCCAATTCGTGGAATTTACGAAATTTGAAAATCCAACATAAATTGGTGAGATTTGAGAGACGAGACAAAATATTTGATGCTAGATCACTGTTATATCATCATAAAATTTATTTATTTCATATTTGTTCTCATTACTCATTTTTCTTTCTCAATGAAACCGATCATTAGTAATGACAAAATAATCCAAAAATTAATCTCATGGAGCTGTGAATTTGTATACCATTAACAAGTAATAGAAACACAAAGAAAATCAGGGTAAGTCGTCTAATAAAGTAGTAACCCTTTTGTCCATATTAACATGCCATTTTAATTTTTTTGCCATAAAATCCCGAGGTCTTATTTGCATGTCAAAATCAAAACATAAAGTTTGGTTCTCTTAAATGAAAGGATACGAACACAAGAGCCAAAGGCAACTCAAGTTGCTCGGGAGTGTAGTTTTTTGGATTTGAGATGTGTGAGGTCTCAAGTTTGAACCCCATTATAGCATTTGGTGTTTTCGGATGCACCGTGAGTGTTGGAGACGAAGTCTCCCACAGTATCGGGTGCTAGGCCTTAAAAATGTTCCTGGGTAAAAAAAAAGGATACAAACACAAGAAAAACAAATGACAATTTTCGGCATCTTCTGAAGAAAATTTCTTTTGGGACTTTGCTAGGGTGACTTGGATAAAACGGTTGACCTCTTCACTGATATGGTCGACCTATTTGGACAAAATGGTCAACCTCATTGTTGGAATGGTCGACCAGATATATTATTTTCAATTTTGCTATGTTCAACAAATGGTTGTCTTCTTCCATTAAAAGGTCGTCCACTATACAAACAAATGGTCTACCACTTCCATCAAGTGGTCTACCTCTTTTCCTAAGCAGTCCACCGTTTTCAATAATTGGTCCACCTGATGAACCATTGCTAGTGATATCATCATATATAATAAGAGTCCAATAATAACATATATGCTTGCTAGTAAGAGATTTAAAATTAGTACAAAGGTTGCAAGCCTGTAAGCATTGATGACAAGTTTTTCGAGTGATTGTTCTCCCGTAGATTTGAAAAATGTTCCGCATATTTAATTTTTTATATTTGACTTACTCTATAGAAACTTTCATCTTTGCTTCAAATTCTAAGTTTTTTTGTTTCTATCCTATAGTTGTCTTGTGATGGATCAACTTTATTGCTATTGTTGTTATGAATATGCTAAAAAAGTTGAGTATTTGGTATACATTTGTGTCATTTTCGACGTCCATAAATCTCATTTTTGTCTTAGCTTATAATCTGTATAGGGATTTGGTTCGCCTATTGTCCATTATTTTTACTACAAACAATTTTATATTGTTGGTTCCCTATTGACCATTATTTTTCTAATGCAAGTATAAGGTAACTGGGTCATCTGGTCGACCGTTCGCTGAAAGCGGGGATCGTTCGCCGGAAGAGGTACATAAACCATTTTGCGGAATTGGTAGTCTGTTTTGGCGGAAGCGGTCTACCTCCTCCAACAAGCAGGTGTAAGTTGAAGGTAAGTGTGACATAGGTCGACCCATCGCTAGAAGCAATAGACCGGTTGCCTCAAGTGGTAGACCATTTGGTGGAGTGGTAAACCATTTTCTTTGAAAGTGGTCGACCACTTGTTGGAAGACGTCGACCACTTAAAGGTAATTGTGTCATCAGGTTGACCCATTTCCGGAAGCGGTAGACTAACTGATCTACTACTTCCAAAAATGGGTCGACCTGATGACACACTTACCTTCAAAGAGAGCTTCGACCTTGGAATCTTCGCATGCATGGTCTTGAGTTCCCAAGAGCGCTTTATCCAGTTTGGCATAGAATTACTTAAGCGACGAACGTCGATATTGACACAAGTCGTAACTCTTGGATAATATCTGTTATAAACGCGCTGCTACGGATCGGGAAATTGTTGGAATCGACAAAACAAGAATACGAAAGCGAGAATCAAAAACACGATACACGATTTACGTGGTTCACTAACATGATGTGTGTTAGCTAGTCCACGGCCGAGAGAGAGCCAGTTTCACTATATCGAGGAGATTATAGATTACAGAGGAGATTAGAAGTATTTATACTTCTCCATGTGAGTCTAAACCTAATCCAATTAATCCAGTCGTAGCGACTGATAGTCCGACAAGTCACATCAACAAGCATCCACCTTGACTTGAATCCTCTTCCTCTGAAATCTCTAAT